CTGCTAAATTATGGACGGCTAGCGCAGATAGCCCTCGTGTAGCTTTGCGCGAAATCCATAACAAACAAACAAACAAACAAATTTTTGACGTGATTTTCGTGTTCAAGGATTTTTGACATGATAATGGTTGCTTTTACAATCTTCCGATAATATAATTACTATACATGCAGAAAACCTTGTAATAAAATAATTTATTTCTGCATCCCTTTGCAGGCAGTACAATGCACTGGCAGTAAACTGTCATAGAACCATTGCAACATAACTATGGCCACATACTCGCTTCGATATATTATAAATAATATTTTCTGTCTAATTCGAAAAAGAGTTAGTAAAGTTAATTAGCTCGTTAATTATTTTCATGATATTTCAAGTAATTATATAGTACGTGCTAATGTTATCTTCTTCACAGGAAAAAACTTTCTTTGAAAGAAATGAGGAAGAAGATTTTACTTACAGTCGACGACATTGTGTTAACGCAACCCAGTAAGAAAGTAAGAACTCTACTTTTATTACCATTATTTCCACTTACCCAATTATTGAGGTAATATTTTAAACACACATCTTCTTTAAAACTTTCTCTAAGCTTCTGTGGGCTGGTTTTAATTTATAAACAAATGTATGTTTGGTATGATAAACCTTATGATATTTAATATTCATAATATCATATATCAACAGTAACAACCTAAACACTATTTGATGACTGAAAAATTGTAAGAAAACATTGATTATATGAACATGGATTTTTATTACTTGCTATGGGGACAGGTCTGGTGTACAAATAGATGATTTTAAGAATTCTCAAGCAAATTTATTGTTTTAATAAAATTATCACTGTTCTTCCAAAAACTCCAAATCTACGATAGTACATTAAAAAAGCCACTAGTGTTTATATGTTTTATAAGTTAGACTCTACTGTTTCTCTACAGTTACTTTCATTAACAGTATTTATTAGAATGTTTAACATATCTATGTTCATTATTGCATATTTATACTATAAATATTATTTTCATTGTTATCTTAGTACATAGAGTTAGGACTAACTTAAATTTCCTCAAGTGGCCAAACATGGTGAGTTATTATTGATTTTAGGGCTAAAAATATTGCCAACAGCGAGAATACCCATCTGATGAAACAAAAGATTCGAATCGTTATATGTAACAACGTACGAATACAAGGCTAATCCCGGCCTTCAAATCTGACTGCTGCACAAATATTAGTTCAAGAGGCTGCTCCCCTGATGAGGGGGTGGGAGGGTAAAAGAGAACAAAACTCCTCATTGAAAATTTTGGGATTTCTGTGGCTTTATTAAAAAAAACAAAAACAAATCATGTGTATTGTTTTAACAATGTAACTTATATTTCTGTATGGTATCTATTTCAATGACGTTCATTATACTAAAACTAAGATTTACTCGAGATAACTAAAACATATCGAGAGGATTCACTTATAATACTAATTGTTATCAAATCTTTTCCCTGAAATATTGTTTTTTTTAAAATTAGTTCCCACAAACCCTTATCGGAATGCCAATTTAATGCAATAAACTATCATGATACCCCCCTCCTCCCCCATACACATACACACCCTCAATATAATCATCACCTTTTGGGCAGCATAAAAATCTTACATCGAGTTCATTACATCTTAAACATCACTAAAGTCCATTTACCTTCATATGTTACTATTTCAACAGACTTTTCGTGACAGATCGGGCTTTGATAAACCAGACATCCTCAAAGCTTCCCATGATTCTGTGAGGCCTCACACTCACCTGACTCCCGGACAAAGTGGTCGAACAACCGGAAGTGAACAGATTAACTGTGCACGGCTGAATGTAGGTCTTTTGTTAATTATACGAATTTGGATAGATCGTTTTTTTTTTCATTTAGAAATGTTTATTATTCATAAGATAAATTTGAGAAAAATATTAGCATAATGAAAACTTCAAAAGAACTATATTATCGCAGTAAGAGCATTAAGCACATTTTCTTCAGTTCTAATAATTTTTTTATTCATAACATTAACTCAATTACTTGTATTCCAAACATTTTGTTTTCAACGTTAAAGTTTTGAGCTATACTGATTTCGTATCGCTATTTTTAAGAATTACGTGTTGAAAAAACAATAAAAATAAATCTTGAGAAGTCTTTTTGGTCTAAAGCATAAAATAATAGTTATTCCTTTTACTTAATTCAAACAAAACGTGATAAATTCGTTTACTTTAAGGTAACAATCGGTAAAGTGTTTTTTCTCTTCAAAGCAATAAATTATAACAATATAGCCTTAAACTTAATAAAACATAGCAGCACGGGTTTTCAAAATGTAAAATAAATCTGTATGAGAAAATTTCTCTTAAAAATATTTTGATATACATATACTGACCACTTTATTAGGACCACCCTTAATATCGAGTTGAATCACGTTTAGTCGTGATATAGCCTGGAGCCGATTTGGGAAAAGCTGGATAAGATACCCTAAGGTATTTTGTTTGGATTGTAACTCACCTGTCGAGCAGCATGGTTTGTAATTGGTTTACTGATGTCAGAAGAAAAAAAATGTGAAGTCGTATTCGTTGCTTAAGTTCATAACAAATAGCCTTAATCAGATTAAAATTCAATAAGTGAGCAAGCCAAGGAAGATGAATGGAATCACTGTCATGCTCTTTGGGTCAAAATCAAACCATACGAGTGTAGTAAACTGCTGACCACGCTCATCAAGGCGGAAATGCTGCATTTTGGGTGAGCATGATCAATAACAAAGTTGAAAAACATTTTGAACGATATTCACACTTCTAAAGGATTTGTTTGTTTGCTTTGAATTTCGCACAATACTACACGAGGGCTATCTGCGCTAGCCGTCCCTAATTTAGCAGTGTAAAGCTAGAGGGAAGGCAGCTAGTCATCACCACCCACCGCCAACTCTTGGGCTACTCTTTTACAAACGAATAGTGGGAGTGACCGTCACATTATAACGCCCTCACGGCTGAAAGGGCGAACATGTTTGGTGGTACGGGGATTCGAACCCGCGACCCTCAGATTGCGAGTCGAGTGCCATAACCACCTGGCCATGCCGGGCCCTTCTAAAGGAATTAAAGATTCCAACTCCTGTTACGAATATGATCCACGCTAACCAGAATCTTGCATTGTCGGAACAACACAAGGAGTTTTCTCCATGTTTTTACTCTACCAGAAAAGGACAAAACGCGACTCTTCGGACCAATCACACACAATCTGTCATTTACTATTTAAAATTTGCTCTTTAAACAGCACTGAAACTGCACCTTCCTCTTCACAACAAGCGACATTACCAGAGTGAAACAACAAAAACAAAAGTGGAATGGAATTAATTATATAAAAAGATAAAACAACATAAAAAATACAAAACACAGAATGATATTACCGTTGCAAAGAAAAGCAAACAATGAATTGCGAAGTCTTTATTGTTACCGACTTTCGTGCATGCTAGCCATGAGACGACTACAGTTTTGCCTTTTCAGGGCTTAATCAATTGCTGGGCACATCACCGATCGGCTTCTTTTGCATATGTAAATAATTGGCACTCTATCTTTCCGCTAATATTTGCTTGTACGGTGGGTCCTAACAAAGTGGAAAGTCATTGTAATTTTCTGTCGGAAAATTTGTCATGTATTTTATTTGACTAAAAAATATTCCATTTTTGTAGGGAGATATAGTGCACTTGAAACACTTTTATGTCACTGCAACGTTCGAAGTGAGAAGAAAGGCAATGAACCAGCTTCTTCAGGTGTGAATTATTCCTCGTTCTATGTAGGAGCAATTGTTTTATTGATTCATTTTTCCCAATCATTAGAGTGTTACCAGCATTTAATTGTAAAAACATATGGCATTTTATTTGTTTTGTTTTTGAATTTCGCGCAAAGCTACACGAGGGCTATCCGCGTTAGCCGTCCCTAATTTAGCAGTGTAAGACTACAG